CAACAGAGGAGGCTAACAGTGAAAGGGGCACACTGTGTCCCTCGGAAACATCTACTCAATAAACATCTATTGTAGAGTAGTTCTGTGTAGGAGTAATAATTATATAATTGTGATCTTGTGATGAGCTATTGCAGAACTGGCATAGATTTTTTTCAAGACTTGATGGCCTCTGAGCACAGAGACACTTGTCAGTAGCAGAGAGGAAGGGCTTTGAAGAGTAGTGCATTAGACTGACATAGAAGAGGATGTAAGAAATGGTGATTCTTCCCTTGGGGGAGAGAAGGGGATGATGCTGTTCTTATTTTTCCCAGCCCTGCGGTTTAAGGCAAATACAATTCTTGGTGGCAGTCAGTTCTGCCACAGGAGTGGCATCATCCTTGAGGAGAGCTGCCTCTTGATGTGGTTGACAGCTGCAAATATTTAAGGAAGGGAACTCTCCAAAGGATGCTCTGTGCTAGGCAGGGCACCTGCATGGTCACCTTACTCCTCTTTGTCCATTACTGGGTTGTCTGGGGGGAACTTTTGGTTAGTTGGTCTGGTATCATTCACAGACAGACTTAGGGGAAACATGATGATGGGATCCAATTAATAAAGAACAAAATGATGGAATATAATTAATACCAGTCAAGAATGATTTAGGGAAAATGGGTCTTGTCTGACTTTTTTTTTTTCTCCGAGTTTTAGCAGAAGCAGTATCTGGGTAAATGTGATAAGTATGTAAGAGTTTTGTCCTAGAACAACATGACCCTAAAAAATGTGATAGTGATAAATAGATTAAAAACTTACTTCATATTTCAAAAAGCAGTTGTCAAGGAAAAGCCTCAAAGGCAGGAGGCTCTTTTGAAGGCCTGGTGCTATTCAGCATTTTCATTTGATTTGGAGCAAGCATAAGTTTAAACCTCACTAAATTCACAGGCAACATGCACATGAGAAGGATAGAAGTAAATAGTACTGAGGGTGGGAGAGTTGTATAGAACTGTCTGGACTTTTTGCTCGCTCTCTTCAAATAAAATGTGTTTTCTTACGTATTTCTTAATGTTCTACAAGGTTGTACCGGCAGGACAGATAGGGACTGCACAGCATCCAGGTGAGGTGTGATGCTATACCAACAGCTTACTGTGGCCTTGGGAAATGCAAGTAGAAGCAGTGAAGATGAGAGTACAAGATGAGTTTTACCTCTGTACTTGTTTTTGCACTAAAATGTAGTCTCCAGTTCTGCCATGCTTGTTCTCAAAAGGGCATTTAAAATCTGGGGAGGTCATTAAAAAGATTCAAGGGCAGGAAAAAAAATGCCAAAGAAAGAGAAACATAAGGAGCTCAGTCTGTTTAACTTGTCAAGAAAGATTGAGAGATGACTTGATTACGCTGCAGAAAAGTCTTTATAGCAAGAACACAAAGTAGCCCTCGCAGTGGAGAAGGGCATTAAAAAAAATGATGGGTGAAAGCTGAAACCAGACAAACTTAAGTCACATCTCTAAATGTCAGGTAGTAAAATAAACTGCACAGGCAAATGGCAGATTCTTCATCTCTCGATATCTTCAAATCCAGAGTGGATAGCTTTTTAGAAGATACTCTTTAGCCAAACGTAAATTGTTTGGCTGAACAGAGCAAAATCTAAGTGCCTGTCAACACAGAACTTGGCAAAGTGTCTGCTAGTCCCTTCTGATTCTTGGCGTCTGTGCAGTGCTGTGTATCTTCATCCTGGATATTTGAGCAAAAAATTTCTTCTTCCCAAGGTCATTCTGAAGCAGAGTCCACTCTTCAGCTGCATGTTGCACTGCAGGCTTGACTGTCTGCTTAACCTTTGTCATTTACTGCTTAATTGGAAAAGGTGCAGGGAATAAATCTGGTGATGCTGTAGAAAATGTCGATACTACTCTTACTTGTTCCAGATACTGCTAACAATTAAATTAAGACAAATGGTTTTGCCAGGCAACACCCACATAGATGCATATCATTACCTTCTTGATTTGCAAAGATGTTGAAGCACAAGATTTCAGGTAAGGGAGGAGGCACAGCCCCTATGCGATGCTCCACACTAACCAGAGAAGGTTGCTAGTAGATGACTATTGCTTGTGAAATGTTTTCAGTCCGCAGACAAGCAGTGCAGCTCTTGTCCATATTTATTTCCTTTTTGTGCTGACTCTTTCCAGGTGTGCTACTCCTGATCTGCCCTTGTCTCCCAGCTGAGGGGGTTAGAAAACTGGTTTTTTGTTACATGCTGACTACAGGTAAAGTTTGACTAAGAGGTCTATGTGGGTAGTTTAGAAACCATTTGTGATGGCATCTCAGGTGCTTATGCTCATCTCTTATCCTGTTTCAGTCTTGACTGACTGCAGTGGTTTGGGAGCTTGCCTTTTTGGCAAAACAGGTTACTCCCTTTCTGTTCAAGGGAAACTTCTGGAAAAAAGAGGCTGGGGGGGGAAAAGGCTGGAGAAATCATTCTCTAGAATGATGGGAGATGGTTTGTGAGATGCAGGAGTCACTGTGCATTTCTGTCTGGAAGAGGAGAGAGGAATGAAGGATTCTTAATAATCTGTTCCTGTCTTCTTGTTTTCCAGAGTTTCTCCATTATATATATATATATATATTTTTGTAAATAAGAATATCCATGTGTCATAGCCATAAAAGCAACCAGGATACTAGAAAACCACCCACTCGTAGCCAGCAGTGCAAAGCTGAGCGTGTGGTGCTACAGCTGAACTTGCCCCGTGCCAGCTGAATTGTCTCTGGTACAGGGCTCTGGTACTGCCCGTCTTCCATGGTGCTGCCCTTCCCTGTCTTTGGGCCCTTCTGCTTTATGTCATTAGCTTTGAATTAGGAGATGCCTGATAGAAAGCAGGAACCACTTTGGGTTGCTCTAAAGCCTTGCTCTGTCCCAAGCCTCTCGTTTGTTGCCAGATGTGGATGCATAGTCTTATGAACGTCTCCAGGCATGTCTCATTAGACTGGGGAAATAAGAGATTTTTATTTTTTTTTAAATAGATGTTGCATAGTTGGGCAGCATTTTTGTTTTCTACATTTTATGTCATTTGCAGCCTTGACTGTGGTTGCCTACCAAGGTTCTTGTAAGGACTAACCTAAAAGGCGCAGAAGGATGAGTGTTCTGAGAGTGCACGTGTGAAGGAGGGATGGGCATTGATGGATGTAGATGACTAAAAGACTGTTTGTGGAGGTGAATGCGAGACAAATTAAATGGACCATCAAGTCTGCCCACAAGGCTGTGGAATGCTCTCTGAAAGGAACCTACAAACCCCATCAAAGGATCCAGCAAGCCGTGCAAGGCTTGTAGAAGGTGCATCAAAGGGAACTGTTCTGCAGTGGTTGGGGAAGTAAGTGAGGCCGTTTCACAAGTATTTGCTTTTATTGATGCCTATATTGTTATTCTTGCCTGAAGGTTTGGATTTTGAAAGCACATTAAAAATATGTTTTACGTTTGTGTAACTGTGGTTTATACAATGTGCTTCATACATTGCTGTAGGCACACAAACAATACAAACAGTAGTTAATGTTAACCCAGAACATGCATATTATATCCTCTTAGCCCATACGGATGTGCATACACATACTGCACCATATGTGGGGACAGCAGCTGGTACAGAGCCCTGGGGCCAACATGTTTGCCCAGCTGGAAACCTCATGATACCAGAGGAAAAGAGACTTTATAGCTGTGTTTATGGGAGAATTTTTGTCTTTACATTTCAGTGTACATGTAATTTGAGAAGTAGGATAGGAAGCATTTCTGATGTCTTTTTTTTTTTTTTTTTTAAAGTGCCTGTTCACACCAAGATCTAAAGAAAAGTATTTTAGGTCAAGCAGCTTGCTATGCAAATAACAACATCGTGCGTATTTTAGACAGGTTCTTACAGATATCCTCATATTTCCAAAGTAGTTGGGAAAGACTTGTTTAATATTTGGGGATCCTGAGTTCTCTAGACTCACTTGCTTGGGTCATTTCTTCTCCAGGGGTGGTACTCAAAAAGCTGGTGGGTTTCTGAAAGCACTGTGGGTCAGAGGTTTGTTACCTGAATCCAGATTAATGGGTAGGCATCTTTAAAGGATTTAGATAATTCTGCTTTGTTCAGAAAACTTGTAGCAGATGTGTTTCAGGATGAGTGCTGTATGTGGGATGAAAACTGGAGCTTCCTAACACCAGCTAAAGCAATTAATAGTATTGGTATTCATTACATATTCATTACATAACATGGTTTGTTCTGAGAAACAGACTGCTAGAGATGGAGGATGAAAATAGCAGCTGTTAATTTCAGAGGGCTGAGCCTCTGAAGACTGCACCCAGGAGGAACCAGAACCTACTTAATTCCCTTTGTGCTCTGGCCGAGGGAGCGTACAAAGGGGAATAGTCCTCTCTGGGGTTTTCCACTGCTGGTGCCATTCCAGGTGCCACCAGGGAACGTTTTGGCCATACCCAACTATTCCCCTATGGCGTGTCTGGGAGGGCTTCTGCCTTTGCAGCACCTCTGGTGCTGCCTGGCCTTTTCTTCCCCTCTACTCACTTGGTGTTTATCAAGAGCTGTGGCTCTTTGCTGCTCTGCACAATCTGAGGCAGCAACATGGGATTTAGGAAATGTTTTGAGGCATGGTCAGGCTGTACACCTCAGCTCTGCCCATGGTTACTGCTGCTGTGTTCCCAAACTGCGTAGCTCCATGTATAGCCAGCTTGTGTGTCTGTGTGCACCTGTGCTTGATGCATAATTAATTGGTACAAATGGTAGAGTAGTAGGTAGGGTGGTATGTATGTTTTGAGTATCTGCTGGGCCCTGGCTTGCTGGAGCACTGAGTTTGTTCCAAAGGTGACCGGGAGCTGCTGGTGAAGCAGGGCTGAGTAACAAAATGCTGTGTGAGAGCAAAGTACTGCCTGGCTGCCAGGTGTCAGGCTGATCTTCTGAAAGACCTTCTCTGCTTCTCCTTGAGTCTGTCATTGCGAAAGGCTCTGGGAACAATAGCTGACTGCCTTTTCTCCCTTTTTGTTTGTAGATGGAGATGGTCGGAGACTCAAAGGAGCCATCCAAAGGAGCACAGAAACTGGGCTGGCTGTCGAAATGCCCAGCCGGACTGTCCGCCAAGCCAGCCATGAGTCCATTGAGGACAGCATGAATAGCTATGGATCAGAGGGAAAGTAAGTCATTGAATGGGAGCTGGGTAATCACTTGTGGGATGCTTTGTTCTTCTTATACCTATTAATTTTCTTCCAGCATGATAGATGATGAGTTTGTTTGACTTGCCTATGCTGCGAGTGTACTGCCCATTCAGTTGGAGTACAGAGGATGTCTCTGCCTGCATAGCTGGAACATGCTTCAGCTGTTTATACACTTTTTTTAGTGTCCTCATTATTCTGAGCTGGAGCAGATACCCATTATTTTTAACCACTTTGCCTTTAGAATAATAATTCAGGGTGACTAGCGGAGGCTCATTACTGGTAATAAATTATAAGCCAATAGTATTGAATGTTGCACAACAGTTGTCCATCTCCCCTGTTTCAAAATCACCTTTTGGTTTCAGGGCGGCGGGGTGGGGGGAGTGCCAAGGTGATGAAAAGGATGCAAGTAGCAAAATAATCATTCTGATATCAAAATACATATTTAGAAGCCTGTGTATACTTTTGGTAACAAACATTCTTTTGTTTCATCTGAGTTACAGTGTCCTAAAAGAATGTATTTTAGGAACTGTTTTTGACACTGAGAAAAGTTATAACACACTTTGTTGCATTTAGGCTTTATACTAGAACGCAAAGCAGGGGATCCTTAGGCCAGAACTCTGGGGGCTGACTTGTCTCCAATTCTGTCTTTTTTTGTATTTCCATTATTTGAAGCCATGTATGGAGATTATAATAATTTCATTAAAGTGACTGTTCATGGGAATCTTTGGAGGCAAAAAAACCCCCAGTATTTAAAAAAAGGAGGCAATATATACCATCAGATTCTGTGCTTCTAGGTATGAGGCCAAAATGTTTGTATACCTAAAACGTGCTCTGTTTAAGACAAGTACCACACTTGGCATCTCTCTGTACACTCTCTCTAGTCCTATGTGATATTCCAAGTATGCTGTACTGCTAAAATGCTGGGATAGTCCAAAGATGCTCTCAATTAATGTGATTCTGGTGTTAAATAAGTAACAGACTGCAAATTAAGAGAGACTTTCTTTAGCTTTAGAAGTAGGCTAATCCTGGAAAGGCATCATAGATCTGTGCTGAAGGTTGGAAATAGTAATGAGGCACAGGCTGTGATAGCAATCTTGTCACTCCAAAGCTGTGATGTACCTTACCTCTTCTGTGAGCTGCTGTCTCCAGGGAAATATTCCTGCTACACCAGCACAGTCCTGTGGCTTGTAGTTCTGCCTCTGCTACAAGATGCAGAGGATTAGTGATTAAGTTCAGTCCCTTGGCAATGCAGGGCAAGAATCTGCTTTCAAGCAGAGTAGAATTCTTCCCTTTTTCTATTTACATCGCTTACCCTCCTGGGAAGGGGTATAATTCTCTGAAATGTCTGTGTCCTATCATTGCATGTGCTGGCTGCTTTGATTGGGCTGTCCTGGAGAGAGAATATTTCTGCCAACAAAATATTGCACCCGTACAAGTGTGGTTTTACCCAGAAGGCAGGCGGCATGTAGCTATCAGCTCAACAAAGAAAGAAAAATCCTGTCTTGCAATCCAAATGTCTTTATTAGAACAAGTCTAACATTTGGTATTCCGGCCTCAAATACTGCCAGAACATCCTTGCCAGCCCCTCTGCTGGGGATGGGATGGTTTCTCCTCTTACTTGTCTGAAAAGTATGATGAAGTGGTTCCTGGATGCTTTGTTCCTAGGTGGGATAATTGATCTCTTTTGGAAAGCCAGTGGGAATTGCAGCTCTCTGTCTGAGCTACAAGTGATAAGCAAACAGGGCTGAGAGTACAAAGAGCTAAGAGGGCTCTATTCTCTTGAAACATGGTGGGAGGGGAGTTTCTCTGCTTTCTTTTCCTGCAGCAAAGAAAGGAATTGTTTGGGGAGTAGCTTTGAGGGACAGAAAATGTATTCTCCTAAATCAGATTTCTCTTGACCTCTCTCATTCGCTGTAGCTGTGTTCCCAGGGAGGCAAAATGAAGATTCATATGACTGTGTTAGCTGTGGCAAGTTTATTTTCTTTTTAATGCTGGGTTTCTGATTGATGCAGATACTCCTAGGTCAGAGAGAGCTTTCACCAGCGACTGTCAAAACCCCAGTTTTCAGCAAGATGAGGTTGCCCTAGTTCTTCCACCCATACATCTCTTCGGTGTGTTTGCACAGGGAAGAAAATGGATTCAAAACCTCATCATCCAAGAGGGCTTGTTTCTCAACTCCTGTATGTTTTTATAATCTTTTTCAATTTAAGGCCTAAAAGGACAACTTCCAAAGGTGGAACACTGAAATGATCAAAGATTTGGTGAAACTTTGCTGCAGAAGGCCTAAATACCTGCTCTCAGTCATACAAACATGCTTTTAAAAAGTGATGCTTATTGACTGCTTTCATGTTTGTTGCGGCAAGCTGGATGCAGCTAGCTACAGCTGCTCTGTGCCAATGCGAAATATTGCAGTTGAAAAATGTTCTGTAGTGTGCGATTTTGAGCAGTGCTGCTTTTCTTGTGAATACCAGAGTGCATGAAATCCATTTGTTTTTTTTATGGAGAGGCTTGTTATGTAGGGATATACTTCTCCTCAGATATCCTAGGCCCTCCTTCAACAAAATATTCCCTTTAGGGTTTTACCTGAAGGTCAAGTATACTGAAGATTAGCTGGTCTAAAAGATGCATCTCCTGGAATTTAAGCTCATACAGCATGCCAGTAAGTGCTGACAATGCCAACACACTGCTTCATTTAATTTTTTGCTGTACAAAAAGTCCTCCAACCATGTTACCCAGCTTTTATACTGCACAGTGGTTGTGCACTAGTGTAGGAAATTAATATAATAAAACTCAATGTGAGAGTTTATAGGAGGGAAAGGTGATATTTATTCTAAACAAAGGTGTTGTCAGTCATTCACGCTTCTAGGTTTCACTCACTCACGCTCTCACCGCCCTGTGAAGGTGCCAAGCCTCGTGCTGTAGCCAGGCTTGGTTGTGTGCTGCAGGGAGGACCAGGGACACCATCTGTCAAGCCCTCGCTATGTCTTCGGAGTTGTTCTTCATGACAGACTGGCTCTTGAACTGTTTGGTTTTTTTTTTTTAAACTTTCTAGGACTTACCTGTTATTACGGAGTGATCTTTCACCTTGGGGTCTTGCTCTTTTTGGTCTTAAGTAGTGCTGCTACCTTTTTGTTTCCTTGTTTGAGGGATCTTTGTGGCTACAGTCTGCCTTCAGAAAGGCTATGGAAGTGATGTGCTCTCTGACCTTGTTGTCTTCCTCCTGTCATCACAAGACAGGTCTGCTGCTTACAAGTTGGTTGTGCTTTTGCACACACAGATGTTTCCATTCATAATTCATCCAGACCAATCTTAGCACTGGTTACAAATCCCTACAGCAGTGAGTATTTTTTTCTATGTATGTACTTAAAAATGTGCATGAGAGGACAGTTACCCACTGTAGCAAGTGCCTACTGGGACACCAGAATTCCTGCAAGGATAAAATTCTGAATATAGGAATAACTCTTAAATAAATAAACCCCTGAGATTCAACACAGATCTCCAGCTTCATCCTGGCTCTTGCACGACCTACATCTTGTTTTGGCTGGGTTTTGCTGCAGCTGCACGAGACCATGTACAACATTCAGAAAGCAATAGATTCTGGACTTGTGCGTAACTTATTCCTGCCAGCCATTTTTCTTTCTGAAAATGGAGCAGAAAGACAAAAATGGACCTGGAACAAAAGACTGCTGGCTGCCATAGTCCCTAGTAAGTGGTACTTGTCAGCTTTTTTGTTCTTGCTGGCTACTGCTGAGATGATTAAGTTACAGAGAGCTAAGGTGATTTTTACGTTAGAAAAGCACAGCAGGTGATGACTAGCAAAGACTTAGAGGATTGTTCTTGTATTATCTGAGTCTGCCTGTCCAGCAAGGAAGCATCTTGTTGTTAACTATATCATCTCTCTTTTCCCATCGTGAGGGCAGCACCAGCCTGAGCCCTGCCTGAAGCCCCTGTTGTCACGAAGGCTGGAGGCAGAACACAGCCCAGCACGTGTGCTGCCGGCATGGGCACCTCACACCTCTTGGCTTTGTTCTGTCTCACGTTGTTTCTACAGGCTACGGCTTGTACCAGTTCTCCCGTCTGTGTGTACGGGGCTGATGTGAACCAGTGCTGGGACTTAGGCTAGGAGAACTACCTGCCCTTTTCTGCTTCAGTATGGAGCAATAACTAAAAGGCAGCTAGAGAAAATACTGGCCTGGCTTGTGACCACATGGCCATGTGAAAATTCACTTTCCTTCACCAAAAATTATCCATCATTATTTGAGAATTACCAAAAGATTTGATTCCTTAACACACCATTCAGGAGATTTGTGTCATAGCTATTCACTGAATGTCCCTTTTTTGGTATCCAAAGCCAGGGGACTTCTAGACTCTTTTATAGCGAAGTGTCTTTAGGGCTCTCCTTTTATCCAAGTTCTTTTAAAAAAATGTAATGAAATGTGTTGTTAATACAGTTCGGACTATAAGAAATCAAGGCCCTTTGAGATGGAAACCAGGAAAGGCTTGGAGATTGTTTCTGTAATATGCCAAGAAATTAGTCAGGCTGTTCAGCAACATCCTTTTGTGTTGTTAAGCTTGACCAGCATGGCTTGGAAAGGATGTGACCTTGAGAGTTGTAGTTACAGCAGTAAATAGAGTGAATCCTGCCTTCAGCAACCTCTTGGGAACACGCAAAATTGCTTTCTGAAGGCAGGTAGCTATCTTTTATTCAATGCATCTGAGATGACTGGTGATTGCTAAAAATGTCGCTGGCCTGGTAAGGTGGGGAAGGGAATGGGGGAGGTCTTTGTACATAATCCATTGCATAGTTTTTATAGCACCATTTAGGTGGCAGAATTTATACAGCAGAAGGAACTGGATACACGAGCGGAGTACAGTGTGTTACAGCACATAAGACAGCACGTCACGGTGCTAAAAATGTTACAGGAAGTGGAGTGGCCAGGAGAGAAGCAGAGCTCGTTGAGAGGCAGAGACAGGGATAT